CGGGCATGAGCGATGCTCTTGCGGACTTGGCTGCAGCGGCTGCATGATGCGCTGGCTAGGATGAAATGGTGCTGCCCAGGGTGGTTCTGTGCACCAGGTCTTGGAATATGGACAATGGCATTTCTATTAAGTGGGCGGACTATGGGTTTACCGGGCAGGAGCGATGCTCTGGCCTTCGGGTAGGAGATAAGATGGCGCTGCCTTTTTAAGTATGGAATTTTTATTAAGTGGGCGGACTATGGTTTTGCCTGGCATGAGCGATGCTCTGGCGGACTTGGCTGCAGCGGCTGCGCGATGCGCTGGCTAGGATGAAATGGCGCTGCCCAGGTTGATGCTGTGCATCGCATCAATGGAATGTCTATCAAGTGGGCGGAATATGGTTTTGCCGGGCATTGAGCGATGCTCTGGCCCTCGGGTCGGAGGTGTTTGACAATGGAAATTCTCGGGCAGGGGGTGAGATGGGGCTGCCCAGGGTGGTTCTGGGCACCAGGCTCTTGACCATGGAATTTCTATTTGATGTGGACTGCGCATGATGCATGTCACAGCTTCCGCATGCTGCTTGCATGGTATAGGCTTCTACACTTTTCGACGCCTCTTCCTTGGCACGCCACGCTGGTGCTTGTCGCGGCACTCTGCGCAGATCCAATGAGCTAAAACGTCAACATGGTAACGACTTTCTTTTGGCCGTGGCCGACCGCACTGGTCGCACGGGGGATAGTTTCGCAGTGATTGGCACTCTGCGCAAGTCCACGCTGCCACAACTGTGACGTGGTAGCGACTTTCGCGTGGTCGTGGTCGACCACAAGTGTCACACGGCGGATAGCTGCATTGCACGCACAAGGTATCTGCTATGGCCTGGGACGCGAGCGACTTGCCACACTGGCTGCAAGGCTTCACTTTGCACTCTGCGCAAGTCCAAGTTGGTAAAACTTTGACGTGATAGCTTCTGTCATCTGGTTGTGCACTGGCTGTGCACCCGGGCGGTCAGCCCCCTTCTCGAGAAGGATGCTGCCGGAACACCCGAAGTCCCGGCCCCCGTCTTACACAGGGAGGGGTGGTTCGGTCCCCCACCGACGGACGATGTAGACGATGTGCACCTGGCGAAAACGAACTCTTAGACACTGCTGTCTGCGCACACTGCGCGTCCGCCGAGAACGAGCTCACAGACACACCGCACAACCCGCGCTCGTTGACCGATCCTTTTTTGGATGCTGCTGTCTGGTTGTTGTCGTAGAATTGACCGCGTGAGCTATGCTCTTGCCTCTGCTTGTGCTCTGTCTGACAACGCTTTTGTTTCTTTTTGTAAACCATTAACTCTTCTAGGGGGTGAAATAGAACTACCCAGAGTGGTTTTGTGCACGTGAACCAAACGCTCTCGTAGGGGATGAAATATACCTACCAAGGGTGGCTTTGTACCTCAGCTTATCGTGCTTATGCTTCTGCGTGTATTCTGTGATCCAAAAGTTCTCGGTCATCCGCATATGTTTCCGCTTTGGTGCGACTCTGTGCTCGCTTTGCTCTGTCTCGCTGACTCTCTCGGTCCCCGCCTGCGCTCCACCGTGCTCGACGGCTCTCCCGACCTTCGGTGTGCGCAATGCACACCCGGGCGGTCAGCCCCCTTCTTGCGAAGGATGCTGCCGGGACGCCCGAAGTCCCGGCCCCCGTCGTACACGAGGGTGGGACAGCGATGCTCTCCCACAGCTTGCTAGCAAAGATAGAGAAAGAGCCAGGGACAGCTGCCGACGAATGCCGCGACGAAAACACAGACGCCCACAGACCTCAACAGGAGGGCAATCGGAGAGACAGCGAGAGACAGAAAGAAAGTGAAACACAGAGACAAAAAAAAAGAGCCAGACACAGAGTGAGCTACCAAGACGAAGACACGGACAGATCCAGTCCGCAAAGGACACGGAGAGAGAAAATCAAGCACACAAAGCTACAGTCCACGACCCTCTCCCTGCTTGGCCGGCGCCCGGCTGTCAGGCGTAAGCCTCTTAAATATATATACTCTATAGATACTTAGAACCACAAGGTAGACACCCTCTCACTTAGGGCAATGATGCCGTGCAACCAAGCTACTACATGGGAGGTTGCACCTAGCTGACCAACGTCTCGTACAGCAACCACCGGCCTGCCACCGACAAGCGCAAATCACCGCAAATCCATTCATGTACCATGCATCACAAGTCACTCGCCTTGGGTCCGTCCCACCCTGGGGGGCAGGAGCTGGAGTGATGTTGCCCCTGATGTTTATCCTTGTGAAGTGTGTGATGAGCCTCATGATGATGCTGGTGCTCCGGATGCTTGTGATGCTCAGGACTGTGATGGTCATGATTTGGATGATTGTGGTGTTCGTTGCTATGGTGGTGATGGTCCAAATGCTTGTGATGATCAGAATGATGCTTCGCGTGGGTGTGTTTGTGTCTATTGTGCTCATCCTGCTTGTGGTGGTGCTCATGCTTGTGATTGTGGTGATGGTGCTCTTCTTCCGCCTCAGGGCAGTGGAGATCAACTACATAAAGCCCCAAAGTTGGCCGTCCGGAAATGAAAGCACTTGCTCGTCCAACCAACCGCTTGCTCTTTCATTCACTCCTGCCGCGGTTCGTAAAGTATCTGCAGAGGTTCGAAAATCCAGCATCAAGGGCTGAAGAGGGAACCGTTTGCGTCAACTGCTTGCATAGGCAAGAGGACGATAGCCATAAATTACAGCCGCTCCCCGAGAAGACGGCACAACCGCAAGCCGGTTGCTCGCAAAGCTTGGGGGCAGCCAACCTGTCCAATTAACAGACCTCCTTGGGACTGCAATCTCTTCCTCTGCCATGGGAAGGTCCAAAGTCCAAAAGCGAGTCCACTGGGCATTCCAAGTCATGGTCCATGAATGTAGCAGCCTGTGGGTGTGTCACAGTGTGTGTGTGTGCGTGGTCGTCATGAATTCATATCAGCATTGGCAGGTCCTCGACTGTCGGAATGCCCAAGTGAACACCTTCCTCCATTGGTGCAAGAGTAAAAAATTGACTGGTCGCCCGGGGCTTAGAAACGTGCAACATCGTGCAACTAAAGCCTGCGCAAGGAGATTGTTCACTAATGCAAGCGCCTGGGCTATCCCCAGCTTCACCAAACGGATTCGTGAACAGGCTGAATGATGTGCTCAAAGCGATCTAGCACACCCAGCATGAAGAATTCTCTCGCATCTTCATATTGGAGCCTGCAAAAGCTTTGTTGGAACCATACAAGTAAAATCCATTGCCTGCTGACGCAAGTTGGGATTGTTATAGAGGTGATTGTGACTCTAACACAATGTGTTGAGCAATGTCTCTAATCCCGAGTGTTCCAGAGTCAGAGTTTGGGAGCAGCTTTGCAGAAGGCGAGATGCCGCTGTGATCATATTGTCAGGGCCTCGCGCAGACACGTCATGATGCTGGTTTGCTGTCTAGCTGACATGTTGACATGCCGTCAGACCATCTTGCGGTTGTTGCTAACTTAACATGTCAGGTGTGTTGTGTTTCTAGAATGTTTGTCACGCAGACGTGTAGACACGCTGAAGTGATTCATTGTTGCGCTGATATGCTGGCGTGGTGTCACCCCGACAAGTTGTCTGGCTGTCATGCTGTCATATTGTCATGTTGGCTTCGGGCACACTAAGACGCTAGCACTCACGCTGAGATGCAGAAATGGGGTCATGCTGTCGCGCTAACTTGCTCGAAAGAGGTTTGCTGGTTTTTGCTTGCTGTGCCGGCTAACATGCTTGCATGGCACAGTGAAAAAGTTCACACTTGTGAAAATAACAGTGTCTAACAAACACAAACCCACACACCAGTTGTTAATAAGTTGAACATGTCGCAAGTTTATTGACAAATGCCATATGTTGCCATTGCTTAATCAGCAAATTCATGCCCGGCGGTTGGCTTTTTCCTTGGGCTTATTCCTTCCAGACTAGCAGAAGCCTGCATCAAAGATTAAAGCTTTGAGAGTTTCTAAGTTTCCCTAACAATCAAGGAACTAAATGAATAGTGCGAGCGCTTCTTCAAGGAACCTCGCGTGAGCTATCCTGCGTGCGTCCATACTAGTAGCTACTTGAGCTTTAAGCTACCGTTTGCTTCTACTAGCTACCTCTAGCTAACCTACCTCCCTCTACGGCCTACCCCCCCAAAAAAAGAAAAAGAAAAGAAACTTGCCTGCACAATCCAAGGATTGATCCAACAATCAAACCATTCCAAAGAAGACGTGGCAGCCAACCGGCCATGAGCCCAGCAATGCCATCCTGGTCTTTGATCTTCTGCAAGGTACTTGCGAAGTGCTGAACACCTGATAAGTACAATCGAGAACACCCGCTGTTGTGCAAAGGGCTAACATTATCTTAGCAAATGTCTACACTACGAAGTTGATCTACAGTTTCCAACCTGCAGACGTCCTTGGATACCAAAAGACAAGTGAACTTCTTTGCCTTCGCGACGAAGAATAAGCTGAGTTCGAGCCACGTCCAAAGGAGTGCACCTGACTCACGTGGCGACAAACCGGCATTGTTGAGCGAGAGAGAGAGAGAGCGCTGGCAGTCCAAGCAAAAATCCATCAAAAACCAGAAACTGCTCTGCCGAGGCACAGAATTGAAGCCACAGCTGATGCTATAGTGAAGACCAGGATATCCTCAAGCAGCTGGCGCGATTTAGAACATGGAAGCGGCTTTCCAAATCCAGCCAACACAAAAAGTAAAAAAGCACATGGCCCTTCCATGGTGGAAAGAAACCTTATATATATATATATGTCTATTTGGGGAACAAGCCTCTTCCTATGGACGGAAAACCGCAGCATGTAAGGCTGTAACAGTAGCGATGGCCTCCAATCTATTAGCAATGGCCTCCAACCTAATAGCGATGGCCTCCAACCTAATAGCGATGGTCTCCACTTTTCCGCTTTTCCGCAAGATCCTGGCACCGCAGCTTGTGGCGGGGGTGACCAGAACGAGAGAAAGATCGATCACAGTTGGATCGATTCGATATCCTGTCCACAACGATAGGCCGGCTTGAACTGGAGTAGGAACTTCTCCACTGCGACAAAGCGAGAAGGTGCGATTCTGCAGCAGGCGCAGTGAGCCCAAAAAGTGGTCACTTTCGAGGATGGACGTGCGTAGCGCGTGGACAACTGAACGTCTTCCAACTTATGGACCCGCAACAGGAGAAGGCGGAACCATTTGACACGGTGCACCATTTCTTATGCATTTGCTTCGGTCCTGTCGAGCCATCGCCAGTGCTTGTATTTATTTGAAGGCTTAACACCACCTATGCTGGTGTGCAGGACAAAGTCAACATACAGGTACAGCCAAGGCAGGAAACGAACATCGGCATCTGGGTCGATGAGAGTGCGGGACCACTCTGCTAGTTTAGGCCAAGGTGACCCCACCAGCTTGGATGTCGCCAGTTGAGGGAACTGGGGAAGCGATGCGATCGTTGCCTCCGTCAGGGGCAAAGGGTATGGAAGTTACTGTGGCAATCGAGTGGGCTAAAAGGATCTGAACCGGTTCTGGCCGTGGGGCTGCCAAGTCACGAAAGATTCGAGTAGGGTTATCGAGCCTATCTTGCTTGGCTTTTTTGATGCGGGCGGACCAAAGGAGCTTTTCAAGGCTTGCAAGTTCTGCTTGGAAGTCAAGAGCAAGCTTGCCTGCAAGGGCACCATCCGGTGGTGCACAGGGCAAGCAATCAGGCAGGCCGGTGACGTGCTTTGCTTTCTGGTTCCACCATTGCTCAAACGAAGGCCGGAAGCCAGCGGCTCTACGAATTGCTCTCCACTGGTCTAGCTTACGTTCAATCCAGTGACTATTGTGCTGATGTCCTGAATGATGCATCTGTGCCACCGATTGGAGTCTTCTGAGCTGTTTGACCCAATGTGTGTGAAGTTGATTCTGACCATGGTATGATGGGGTGAAACTGCCTGGTCGGGATGGCCGCAGCAGTACGAAATGTTCGGTGATCCACGACCTTTCCAGGGTGGCTCCCCGGCCTGTTTGAGACCCATGTATGTTATGGCCTTGTGTTCGGGCATGCTGAACCATCTGTGTTTCAAAGGATTGCCAAACAGCCCGATACCTAGCATCCGCATCAGCCCGGGTGGGTGGCCCATTTTTATCTTCCACAAAATCCCACTGAACAGGGTGAAGACAGTGGTCATCAAGTGTCGTTTGATCTGGCCATTCCACTTGGCGTGGTTGTTTCCAAATAGGGACACGAAGTTTGGGTGCATGGTCACGCAAAACTGCATACACAATTGAGTGACTTGCGACCCAGTCTGGTTCTACATGCACCTCAGCCACTAAATGACAAAGTTCTGGACTGAGAAAGAGCAAATCCTTCGTGTGTTTATTTTGGATGGTCGGCTCAATCGGTTGACCAAATTTGCGGAGGGCTAAGTGCTGGGCCTCCTCCCACCCATGATGAAGCAGAGTCTGAGTTTGAGGGAGTTCATCAAAGAAATGGTTGAAGTCTCCTCCTACAAAACGAGGGCCCTTTGCACACGAGTGAATACGATCAACAACATGCGAAAGGAGAGCATTGTTTTGTTCTCGGGTTTGAAGGCCTCCACTCTGAAAGGCATTACCGTAGAAGGCACCTCCCTGGAGCCACTGGTTCCCAAACTGGAACCCGGCAACATGACACCGCTGCTGGTTGACTACTTCATTTGGCCACGAATGCATGAGGTGGCGCCCTGGTGTGCTTGTCAAAAACCCGACTCCCCTCTCCTTCCCCCGAACAGAAAGGTGCGATTGGGAGACTGATTTAGGGGGAACATAACTTCCATGAAGTAGCTTGTACGGACTTCGCGTGCAGTGAAGCTCTCGTCGAAACTGGGCACCCCCATCAGGGGTGAGGTGGGTTTCGGAAACAATCCAAACAGTTCCTTGCGTCCCTTTGGGAAGCGAATTAACAATTGCAGCTTTATGGAGCAAACCTGTGGGATTGAGCAGACCAATCACAAAGCCCGGAATGGAGGGACTGGAAACAGAAGTTGAGGGGCCTGGATGTTTGGCTTCCCCGTATCTAAAGACAAGATGAAGAAAAACCACGAATCTTCGCAACGAATTTTTTCCGCGACTCTGGATGGATCTGTGGCGAGTGCTCCGGCAAAGGTGAGCTTTCGTGCAGTCACGATCTCTAGGTCGGATCGATGCGCGGATCTGGCCACCGCGAACAGACTGCTCCCCCGAATTTGTCAGTAGCATTAGAGGATGGCCTTGCTTCAAAGAACATCGATGCACTGACGGCATGCAAACCCGGTTCTGGTGAGCGATCGATAGTCACTCGTGGCGCATCTTTTCGACAAAAGCGCCTCAATTCTCTGCATTTGGTCTTCCAGCTTGGAGTCGATGCGGCCTTCAAAGCCTTGGAGCTGACAGGAGATCTGGTTGTTGATCTTCGACTGCTGCTGCTGGAAATGGGAAAAATTCTGAGTCAGTGAACTCACCTGTCGCTCGAGTGCGTCAATGCGATCTGACTGATCGACT